CTAATTGTAATAAGTTCTATATTAATTAATAAAGATTTACAGCGTATAAGCAATTTAAAAAAAAAAAAAAAAAAAAGAAGTGCAAATTAGATATACTGTATATAGTATATACTTATCTGTAATACTGCATTTTGAGAAATGCATAGATTAAGTTCTAAACCAAACAGATATAAAGATATATCACCTTTATCTGACTTTTTATTAATCTTAGTTTTTATAAATTTATTTTCATTGGTATCAGAAATATGCTGATTATTAGGAGGATAGCCATGCTTATACTTAACCTCAATCATTTTAATTTCATTATAGTTTGTAATATTGTCAATATTGGTCATTTCAAAAGTACTTTATTATAAATTATTGAAGTTATCTTGAAGCTTTGGTAACTTTCCATTTTCTAAAATTTGGTTTGAGACATTTTGCATAAGATTTAATAAATTATTATATAGGATTTTTCGACCTATTTCGTTTTTTTAACCAATCAAATTCGTCTAAAATACCAATCAAATTAGTATATTTTGATTGAAACACAAATTTGATTGGTATTTTAGACGAATTTGATTGGTTAAAAAAACGAAATAGGTCGAAAAATCCTGTAGTGATACTGTGCTAGCTCTTGAAAAATTTGCATAGCAAGCTAGGAACCGAATTTTGAACATGATTGATTTTTGGAATATATAATGCATGCCAATATTTATAAACCTTACTTTGTGGTACACAAGTATGTAGATACAAAAGATATACTATAATTATATACTACTATGGAGTTCTAGTATGCCATGGATGTAAACATATACAAGTACTTGGTGTTTCAATTTGCACCGCATATGTTTTCATTATATGATCATCAATTTGCACTACATCATATATACTATTATCATGCTTAAGAACTCCATATTTTTCTAATTTTAAAAAATCTCTTTGTTGCTTTATATACATTTCAAAAGCAAATCATGAATACACTGAATGTAGCTTTTCTAAACCTATATCTTTATCATCTTGTTTATACTAATTCTGATGTAAAAATGGTTCATATGCAAATTTTTGAGTATGCTCTTAATGTTGTTGCCAAACTATTGCAAGCAACCTATTAATAATAAGAAAATAAATATATATTAGATTAATTAGCTAATTACCATATATATAGTTATAAAATAATGTACAGAGGTGTATTTTCGAATTTTGGCCTAAATTAAGCTTAATTTTGGCTGAGATTCAAAATAATATCTTTGTATATTATTTTATAACTCTATAATATTTAGTTAGTTACTTAATAACTGACTAACAATTTTTTATTCATACCTATTAATCGGAACAACGTGTCTTTCAACACTTTTTAATTTGTTATGTAAACTTTCTACATGCTGGCTTGACTTAATATTAAGATTTATGTTTTTTTTTGTATATAGTGCAAGCCAACTTTCTTTATATAGCATCCATGTATTGCACATCTATTTTTTTGCACTTGGAAATTTTATCTACAATTCAGTGATTTTTTGTTCTACTTGATCTTTTAGAAAATTATCATATACAAGCATTTGAATAGCTTAAATAAATTTGTCAATATTAATTCTCTTAAGCTTATTTTTAATATTTTTAAAAAAAGTGCCATGTACATAGCTGATGCTTTGTATTGGGAAAAATATTGGATATTGTGGCTATAAGGGCCAACTCTCGATTAGTAATAATAGTTTCTACATGTGAATTACCTGTTAAAATAGTTAGCACTTTGCACAACTCATATAATACTCAACTATAAAATTCTTTTGTTTCAGAATAAACAAGCGTGAAAGCCAAAAGATATGTTGAACCAAATCGATTAATGCTACAAATTACAATTAATAGCATTGAAAATCTATTAAGTAATATTAATAAAATATTTATATAAAGTTAAAATAAAGATGCTACTCTGGCTTGAGATACAGATTAGGATCTGAAGTAACATCTCAAGGGACACCAAACTGGAAGCAAAAAGAGCACCCCACTCCTAGGACACCAATTTAGAAGTTATACAAGAAACGAATTAGGAGTAATGTGATAAGTGATGAGGGGTGAATTATAACTAGTAGATGTTATACAGTAGTATATATAGCGGGGTATATACAAATTAGTAAAAAACATTAAGGTTCTGAGTTAAATCAGAACTTAGGGTGCTTCTTGATAGAGGTACCAGAGTATGTCCATCTCATATGTGAGATGGTGCAGATAGTTGCATTTGGGCGCCATATAGGGTAGCCGGGTAAGGTCATAACAACTATTTAGATAGATTAAAAGTATATGTAAATATATGTAATGTTCGCTTAAATAAGTAATAAAGTTAATGACAAAATCGTCG